TTCGACGACTTGTACTTTGGACTTCCTTTTAAAACTACTGGATTATTAACAACGTCTATGCTGCAATACATGGCAAAAATGATTGGAACAGGTACATAATAATCGATCGATTTGCCCTTGCACTGTCCTCAAAGATACATTACTATACATAAGAGGCACAAGATGAACATTGTTACTTCCTTTTTTTATAAAAAAGAAAAAAGAAGTGCATTTCCCAGTCGAAAGTACCATACAGCCCCCTTAATAAAGCGTAGCGCACAGGTCGCACTTTAATTCCGCAGGGTCTGCGCTGCCGGCAACCGCCCAATCTTAGCCGATTCCATGCATACGTAAGGAGCATTGGCAGACGCCACATGCAAGCAGCGAGCTAACTCTTTACAACTGCTCCCTGCAGACCCATTTATCGATCCCCGTACCGAACGAAAGGTTTCCATTAACCGCGCACCAAGGCGCGTATGTACGTGCCCCGTACAACTGTTTCATCCACGTGCATTTACCGGATTTACCACGTACAGTCCCCGGTCCAACGCTATTGTGACCAGCCAATTGCCATCTGGAACGGGTCTCTGCAAAGGTGGACCAACTACTTACCTAACGACGATTGTGCACCCCCGTGGGGTTTGCAACGGCGTGCATTATATCGGCAACGAATCAATAATATCTACGCATACGCGTTACGTGCCATCCGTATTCTATTTCTATCGCGGTTTACCGATCAGATCGGCCGCATCTGCACGGGAATTTATGCAAAGCAGCCCTCGAAACGGCGGGCACACCCCCCGGCACCCCCGGCCCCCACCGTTTTCGCGGGGACGTAAACGGCGAACAAGCGCGATTCCGTGACCCCGGGATCAAGCGGAAAACGATAAATCACGTGTAACGATTGGCAACAGGGAATCCTACGTCCCGTGTTATTCTCCTCGGATGGCGAGGGCCTAAAAGTGCATCGTAAGGAGCCTCGTGAGTTACGACGCGTAACAGCCAGCGCTTTCGTTGGAAATTATGCGAGGTTGTAGGCGGGAATAAACGACACGCGGGAAATAGGACGTTAGGGTTTCTATTACACGAGGCTAATGGAAAAATACTAACGTTTAGGGAACCGTGCATTTTTTTTCCTTTACCCGTTGATTGTCGCGTTAATTAAAATTAATATATAGTTGGAGGGGATATCGTAAAAATTAATATGTATGTCCAGAGGAGGGTTTGTTAGGTTTCTTTACATTTCGACTCATTGTCGGTGCTTTATAGTCCTCTACAGAGGTGAAACTTATTAATGAAAATTTATGAAGCATTTATAGTAGAATGGTATTATCGTTTACAATAATAAAATTCTTTTTAGATTTCAAATTGAAAGATGAAAATTTATGAAGGATTCGTAATAGACAGCGTTAATTTTTAATCTTTTTCAGAAGTGGAATGTAAAAGTTAATATTTATGTAGACAAAGTATAATAATTTGAAGTGAAACATGAAAAATGACAAAGAAAAATTTAGGAAACTGATATATATTGCAGAACACACCGACAACAGAAAATTTATATAAATATTATGCATGAAGACAGACAGAAGAAAGACTGTTGCAATGTGCAAACGTTCGTGAAAATAAGAAGAACAAATACAAGAAGTGACTATTACGTATCGCACCAATCTCAATACATTCAACCTGACGTGCACTGACAAAAAGAAATATACATGTCGAATCGAGTAACCCCCTCCTTTTCGAAGTCGGTTAATAAACAATATTCACAGTCACCATGATATTCACTAAAACATCTTCCGAACAATATCATAAACAAAAAATTCTGCATGAATCTCCCTTCAATTCAAACAGAAATATAATACTACACAATAAAACATGCTAATTGAATAAAAAATAGAGTCCAATCAACTCCTCCTCCAACTTCTAAAAATTTGTAACCATTTAGAACACACCATGAGCGCCTAAAAAAAATTATTTTCATTTCCATTTCTGTCCCCTACCTCGATTTTCATTCAATTCCCAATCGTTCGCGATAAATACAATTAACGTTCACGGTAGCATGACAGCTATTAATTAAATTTCCCCGTATTTTTGGTGTTTCGCGTTTTTATGTGGGTTCCCGCCTAACTAAATAATGGCTCGCGTTAGTAACTTAAGGAAGAAAATTATACGGCTTTTTATGTAATTATGATATACGAAATATCTGTCTGGGCGCATTAAATCGCAAGGTTTCGCGTTTCGCCCCGGAAATTATTAGATAACGACGTTAAATACAACGGCGCGATACTGGATAAATGCAAATTTTGTTTATCTGTAATGGCTTATTGCGTTCTTTATTCCGGCTGGCTTCCGTGTTTTCTCCAATAACAATTCCGACGTCGTTAAACGGTAAATTGCCGAGTTAACTGTGAAACTACGGTTTTCCCAGGGAAATTATTACAACGAAATCGACTCTGTACTCGGCTTCGTATTTCCCTGATTCACTCTCAGCCTGGACCACAGAAGGTCCACGCTGGGCAGAGTAGGGAATTAAATAAATACGACCAAGGAAGCATAATAGCGCATAACAATAAGAAAAGTACCATGTTGCAATAATATATGTTATATACAATAGTACAATGGTATGTATTATGTATATTGTATAGAATGTTACATTTCATAGGCATTTAATATATTTTATAGTATATATTATATTTAATACACACACAGGGTGTCCCAGGAATAGTGTAAGAACCGGAAATGAGGGATAGCTATGGTTTTCCATTAACAATTCGAAAACAAAGCACCGTCCGACATTTTTCCAAAGGAAATTGTGATTCAGAATCGTCTCAGCCTCCATTTCCAGTTCTTACACTAATTCGGGGACACCCTGTATAATACCTATATATTATAATACTATAACATATACTCGTTCCCTATCCCAAAGGAAGCAGCAACGATCGAAATGAAAAATATATGCAAAAATATATTCACAATCTGAATTATAGAATACTTACATTAAATTCAGCCACCTCGACACTACCCTAATATTCGTTTCGCTGTAAAAGTAATTCAACATTTTTTACGACATAAAGTTTTAACAGCATGCGTTACTTCTCTCTCTCTCTCTCTCTCTCTCTCGCACCCACCCACAAACTCTTTTACTCGAATAAACTTAACCATTAAAACAACATTGAACGTGTCATATAAGCGCTGCAATAGCGTTGCGAAAAATTCACACAATAAAATTTTATAGGTCGATTCCTTGGCGATCGCGAAACAAACAAAAAGAGAACCGAGACCGGACAGGTAAACGCTAACGCGAGCAATTCTTTCGGCGACAAAGGATTCGCTCGATTTATCGCAACTATTCCCGATCGTTTGGTTTTATTAACCGTAAAATGATTCTTGTCCGGCGAGCATCGTCACTTTAACGGGCCAATTAATGCGACAGGCAACGATCGACTGCATGAAATAAGTGCGCGGGTGTCTCATTTCACGCATGTCAACAAATCCTAGTTCTAAATATACAGGGTGTCCCAGAATTAGTGTAAGAATCGGAAATGGGTGGTTCAGAATCGTGTCAGCTACCCATTTCCGGTTCTTACACTAATTCTGGGACACACCTGTATATTGTTAATACATTCGCAACCGCTGACGTGAATTCACGTCACTTCAAATTCTACTCCTGCTTCGGCTTCGAATGAAGCGCTAAAAAAAAAAAAGGAATTCCCGCGCGCGTCCTTTTAAACGGCGATTTAAGCCGCGGAAAATCGAAAACAAAAGTAGTAAAATGCCGATATACGAATTCGTCGATGTTTCGTAGAATAGAAGCGGATTAAAATAGCTCGGTAATAATGGCAGATGCAAATGCAAAAACAAGACCAATTATCGAGATTGTTTTCGACAATTCGGCCGTGATAACGAGCAATTTATCGAGGAAGTTTTAGAACTGTGGTACTGAGTTATCCTTGGAAGGATGTTGCATTAATTAACTTAACTTTTTAACAAGTGTTTGTGTAATATGTAAAAATGTATGAAATATACTTATATAGTACATAAAGGTTATTGAATGCTCGTATCAAAATTAAACACAAATATTTATGTTTTCAACCATGCAACATTCATTACGTAAAATTGATAAATAAATATTATTGGTTTGTCTGAAAAGTTCATGCCGAGTTTTGCTACGTGGTTCAGCTCTGAATATATTGAAATGGTTAAAAACAAAAAACACGTGTACATCTCTTAAAAGGCGGAAAAGGTTGCGAAACAAAATGGTACTTATATAATTCAATAAATATATATGAAAATTCAAATGTGTCTTTGAAGTTTTCATAAGAATTGGCACGAACTTTCTGGACAATTCAATAAATAGGTGAAACCATGAATTTTATGTTTAATAATATTGTAAAGGTAATTACCAGATAGTGTTAATTGGAAAACCCATACTATAAGAAAACAGTTATCGATATTAGAAGGATCTATTGGCCTAATACATACTTTCTATGGATCCCCAGAACGACATCCTCTATTATCATTTCAAATCACATCAAATAATAAACCTAATAAACGTTCTCGACCCTGAACGTTCGATTAAATTTAGAAAGAAATCCTTGCGAATGCCTTACGTCTCTTTTTCAACCCTTCTTGTTACGTCGAACGGGACCAAAGAAAATTTCCCATAAATCGAGGGCAAGCTCCCTTGCATTGCAAATGCACGCAAAGGTAGAGGATACAAAAGAAAAAAGATTAGCATCATAAGTGACCGTGTTTAGGTTGACTCTTTCCCTCTTTGAAGATTCAGAAACAAGAGACGATAGAAGATGAGCAGATGCATACAAATTCGTGGCTTATAACCGAAAACCTTGATATTCCTTTTTCCAGGAGGACTTAAAACCTCGCAAAGATGCGGGACCGGCTATCGTGGTACATGGTCTTCCTGATCCTGCCGACAATACTCCTGGCCAGGTCACTCGATAAAGGTAAATAATTTTCTCTGAGCATTTAACCTGTCCGCCTTTTTTCCACTTTCCCGCGAGGATATAAGTTTTTTCCGAGCTACGTGCCGTTTCTTTTGCCCTGACACAATTCTAGACTTTCAGTACCGTCTTGAACAATGATCGAAGCTTCGAATCTAATATTGCTGGTCGCATTATTTACTTGACAACTCCATCGTCATAGTTTCGATTCGATAGTAACTTCTGCGCTAGTCGTAAATTTTTCTATAATTCAAATAACCTCTGAATTCAAGATCTATTCGCCCCAGATATTTTAATTTAAATGTCACGCGAATTACTTACTTTGCAATCAAGTAAAAAATGTTCCTTCCGTTTGATCGCAAATTTTCAACGTTGATTAAAGTTTCCATTTGAACTATGTTCGAGTAAGAAGACAAAAAAACATAATCAGTTCGCTTCAGTGCTGTTGGTCGAAGACTCAAATATTATGAAATTATTCTCGTAATGTAGTTAATAATTCAATGTTTACGTGGCCGTCGAAACGATACAATCGAATGCCAAATATACGCACACACACTTTTGCTACAAATTTTACATCGTCGAACAACGTCATTCATTCATTCATTCATTTAAAATGCGTAACTTATTATATAAAGTTCCATTCTTCTTATCATCGTCTTACATGACTCCGTTTTAATACTGTTTGCAGTATCTCTTACTTTTCGTCTATTCTTCTCGTCTCTCTAGCTCGGGTACCTCGGAGTTACTAAACCCGTACTGTAGCTACAAACACCGCTACAGGCCCCGAGGGCTCAAACAACGTATCCAAACAAAATCTATTCATTTATGAAACCAAACACGAACAAGTCACTTTGGCACATTTGATTAAAGCTTCAAATGCTGTGTAATTACCGTCGCCATTTATTTAATAATTATACGATTAACGCGTCCAATCAAATATTGCATTCGAATGAGAAATATAATCATACCCACTTGATAATATTGTATTACCATATCACATTGGAAACCTCTTCGCGTAAGAGGACAAGCTTGAACTGTGACTTCAAAATGACGGAACTCTTATCGTGATCGAATTAATAATTCTAGTAATGACCCGGTGAAGCCTCCACTTAACGACTTAATAGGAGAATGAAGAATGTTGATGAATTACATCCATTAAGAAATATTTACAAATGAATCGCTCATAGATTCTGTTGATGTCTCGGGCGATGTATTACCTTCGGTATAGTCCCGCCCGGGGGGCCTTGGTGGAGGTTTTTAGTCGGTAAAAATCCGACACTTCTCCTCAATGACATCTGGTGGGGTGTCTTTTGAAGATTTTCCTCCAACACGGTAATTAAAAAAGATTCTGTTGATGTCTATTAACAAGATTCATAATTCGAGAAATTAACGAGAAACAATGGGTTTTCTAAAAAGAAGCTTTACAATTTTGCTTTTTAATAATAAAATACTCCTATATCAGCATGGTCTAGGGGGAACTCTTGAATATCATTTTTCACGATTAATTTATTTAATCTAAGAAAATCATGAAGCCCCGTTTGGAAAACCCTGTTACCACATTTTACTGAAGCAAACTTTTGTGGCGAACTCTTAAACATCAATTACACGCTTACTTCATTTAAAGTAAGAAAATCATGAAGCCCCTTTTGAAAAACCTTTTACTACTATTTATAGCAGCGAACTTTCGTACGTTGATTCTCCTGTTACTCGAAATACAATATACACTACGATATACAATGATAAAATCTCAGCTTCGCCCAAGATTCATTTTTTGTTTTTTCTTGACTTTTTACCACGATGTTAAATAGCTCTCCGTACCCAGATGCTCTCGGAAATTGTGCATCGTTAAATAACGTCTGCGTCCGAAATCTATTCGATAAGGAATCCCACGAGGTGGCTTTAACGCCGTTAAACGGGGATTAGATAAAGCCCTTTCTAAGCCCGTGCAATAAATAAACGCCATTGTACTATAAAAGACACAAGGTACTCGAAAACAACAAAAAAGAGAGAGAGAGAGAGAGAGAGAGAGAGGGAGGGAGGGAGGGAGAGAGAGAGAAACGAAAGCTCCGTAACCTCGCGAGAAGTCCCTCTAGTGCGCACTTACTCCCTTCTCAAAAGTGGTTGTGAATTGGGAATGCTTAAAAAGAAGAGAAAAGAGAGTAGGATCCTGCCCAACTAACTGGTCGAAGCAAAGTAGGAGTACCCCTTCCTCTCCCCCCCCCCCCCTTCTCGGCACCCTCAGCTTCTTGTCTCGTTGTATAAGGTTTCGCATTGTCTCGCGGAAACAAAAGGCAAGTAGCTTATGCCCTGCATTCAAAAGCTCACAAAGTTCAGTCTCAAGTGCTTGTCTTTCGCCCAGACACTTCTCCTTGCCCCCCTCCCCACCCCAACTCCCTGCATCCCCCGCCTTCCGCCTACGTTTCTATTTCTCAATTTTCTCTCTTTCCGTTTACGGGATTTCTATATTCAACGTTTTTCCTCCCCATCTCGCCAAGTCTGGCACCGACCTCGTATACCTTCACCGGTTTTCCTTATTCCAAGATATTCCCTTTACCAAAGCACTCCCGTTACTTTCAAATTACCTCCCCTGTCTCCCTTTTAGTCCATCCTTCTTCGCCTCTCCTCCTCCTCCTCCTCCCCCCCCCACCACCACCCACTGATTTCTGCTCGCGAGCGCGTCAAAACTTCCTCCTTCTTTGGCGTTTCTTTCGGTTAACCCTTCATCCTTTTGACGTTCCGTAATTAATTAATACCAAGCTCGCGGCAGAGGGGATGCCGGCGAGCTTTTCATAACGGAACAACATTTTGAAGAGATTTTTGCGCGGAGACTTCGACTTTGATCGCTGTTAGACGAGTGTCGCCCGGAAAAGACGCGACTTCCTCTGATTCCTGCAAGAAGAGGTTCTTGCGGCAGATAACTGTGCTAGCACGTGACGTAAGGAGGATCGTAAAGAGACGTATAGAGGCGAAGGAGTCAAAGGGCAGCGTTTCGTTATTTTTGTGCGACCGAAAACGTTTTCATTTATAAAAGGACTTTTATTAGCGCGCGTTTGTACTCAAGACGGGATATTTGCATTCTCTTCATTTTTCTGTTCCGATCTTTTAGACAAAATATGAATAATAAAGCAATCATTTCACTTCCAAGGTATCCGATGCCTTCTGGTGGATCTTCTCTTACTTCTTTCGTTCTAAATTCTTTCCTTTCTCCTTTTCTTGCTTTTATGCGTTTAATCTGTTTTACTTATTCCAGAATAATTCTTGAGCCTTGAATTACTGTTCCCTTATTGGGTTTCTTAGTTTTGTTCGATAAGAAGGGGATTATTATTAGCATTTCGTTTCTACGTTAACTCGGATCTTTACTTATTGATATAATTCAATAGTAATCATAACTCTTGGAGGTCTTCTAAACTTCTACTTCTATACCAACAGCGCTGAAGTGATCTTCGCACACGAGCTGGTTTTAATTAAATACTTTATTTAACGATGAAAAATTCGCAGAAGAGAGTTATTTCTTAGTAGAATTCATTTTATATTATTCAACGAACTTGGAAGAGTTTCGTTGAACTTATATTGAAGATACAAGATTCCCTGCAATTTGACCACTTTTAAATATATTCTACTAAAAAAAATTCATATGTTAAGTTTAATACTTGTACTGCGAAACTATACACTTCTTTGGATTAAAATAGATATTTAAAGATTGAAAAGAAATTCTCGAATATTGCCCGTAACAACTGCGCGTATAAAGGTATTTTCATGATCATATGTGGTTTAGTCTAGACTCTACGAACTACTTGTAGTAAAGATACCGATTTCCATGGACCTCTCCATTTACTACTCGATTTCGGAAACGTTCCAGACCGGCGCGTACCCTACAGCATACCGTCAGATTGGAAGACGCTGTGGTTCAGCAATCTGGACGAGCTGCAAAGAGTGAACGATGCGAACGACAACAACACCGTCTCCAACGTCACGGTGCAACTGGGGGGCACCGCCTTTTTGCATTGCAGAGTTCGCAATTTAGCGGAAAGAACGGTGTCCGACACCGAGGTAAGAACGTCGTCGTCGTATTCGGCGTGACAAAGGAACTGCGATAAATCGCTTGGCCGCGTATCGAGCGGTGCAAGAACGCTGATTAACGATTGCGCACCTGTTTCAGATATCTTGGATACGACGACGTGATTTCCACGTCCTGACCAGCTCTATGTTCACGTACACGAACGACGAGCGGTTTCAAGTGTTGCACGCCGAGGGCTCGGACGATTGGACTCTTCAAATCAAATACGTTCAAGAAAGAGACAACGGGACCTACGAATGCCAGGTAACTATGCCGAAGAAATTAATTAGTCCAGCCGAGAGGGCTGGGTCAGGTTTAACCCGCGATACTGCGTATCTCTGATGGACTTTGATCTTGAGTCTATCTTAAAGCTTTTTCTTGGATTGGTTTAACGATAATATTTCTTATATTTTTTGATTAATAATTTGTTTTAAATGTAGTTTAAAGTTTGTGATAAAGAGATATAACGACAGAGTTCATTTTTGGAGTATAGACAAACAACGAAAACGTTTCGAACAAATTCTTTATGATCTTCTGTGGAACATCCATAAAACAATTAATTAAGAAGTCAAAGTGTAATTTTTATTATATATTAGATTCTCAACATTTTAGAGAAGACGATAGAGGAAACTAGTTTTTTTTTTTAACTCTCAATTATTATACTGATATTGAATACATATTAACAATTTAAAGAATAATATAACGCTCTTCACAAGTGTATGCAAGCAATTGTTTAACATTTTTATCCTCACTTTGGACCTCTTTAATGACAATTTATATCAAAATTGAGGATATTGCGCGGATCTCCCTTATTTGGTTCAATAATTGTTAACGTGGGAGATTTGTGAACCAAAACATTGGCGAATGAAATATTTTCTGCCTAATAGAATGTTTTAAATACTTTTTTCTTTGTTTACTAAGCAACTTCCAATATTGCTTTCTTTGTACGTTTTATAGGTCTCGAGGAGTACAGGGATAGTATCACACTTTGTCAATCTAAACATAGTAATACCAGAAGCATTTATATTAGGGAGCGGCGAACATCACGTCGACGTAGGATCCATTATAAACCTCGTGTGCGTAATAGAAAAGGTAAGGACTTGCTTTATTCATAGACCATTCATGGAATTGGATTAGACTCGTGAACAATCCAGGAATAAATCATTAAGCGATTTAGAATGCCCGAATGTTCACTAACCACGTTTTAACCAAGTATAAATAACATATTTGAAAAGCATACGCAATGTCTTTCTGCAAAGGAATATGTTTTGCTCTAATATCATTTCTACAATTCTATCTTTCACTAACTACTTCATGGTTAATGGTCAAGTATGATGTAATAATCTGACTAAAATACACATCCATATATTAGTGTAAAAGGATGTGATAATTAATTTAAATATAAACCATACATGGGTATCGCGAGAATAATTTTTATAAATATATATATTTAAAAAAATAGAGATTAGATGAATAGAGGTGATAACAAAATAAATTGTGTGAAACCTTTCATTACACAACGGATTTTATTATCTCTCCAACTTATCTAATCTCTATTCCTAAAAATATGTATTCGTACAAAAATTCTAACAAAATCCTACATTTCCAAATTAGCAAACTTATATCTCCAATCTCTAACCCTAATTATTATAATAATTACTTATCCAAAAATAGCTAAAACCTAAAGCCTTGCGTTCCTCGTCAAAATAACCCATCTTATATCACTCAAACGAAGAATAATCTCAGATAAATGTCAAACAATTGTCTAACGCCCGCCGCCTCTTTGTTCTCGTTCGCGATCCATAATTCGAATGGAATTTTGCGCCATATTCGCCCGAGTCGTATTTAACCTAAATAATAAATCATCCCGCGTATTTACGCGAGCCCCATTGATACATAATAATCGTGTCGCAAATAAAGTCACGTCGCACCGAGGCCCATCCGCTTAACGAAGGTACATAGAAACGCACAGCTTGCAGTTCGTGCGAACATTCAATGTACCTTCGCGAACGTACAGCGGAAAAACCTCTAGCGAAATAGGCGCAGCTTAGTCACGAATACAAGAGTGGAAGTGCATTAAAGCGGCATTGCTGCCGCTGCAAACTCGACACTATCGGGAAACGAAAATAAAGTGTGGCGTTTTTTTCTCCTGGCGTGCTGCGCCTCCTGTATCTACGTGTACACGTATAATCCCAGACAAAAGAAACACGTCCTAAACGTCTAATGCACGGAAGGGCGGAAGGGCCAAACAGATAGCGCGCGGTATCTTTAATTTTCACTCACCCAGTAACGAGGAGGGGGAGTATATCAGTTTTAGCTCGTCAAACACCTTTCTACGCTAGAAAACACTTTGCAGTGCGAATTTTCTGATTTCAGTACATTTTTGTCGAGCCTCACTCGACATAGGACTGCAAGAGATTAACATTTTGCCAACTGGTGGTGATCGAATCGTGGTGATCCGACCGTAAATAGTTCTCTGACAACGGCTCTGTTTTGGTTAATGTTGAAAGATGCAACGATATCTACCAAACATAAGCAGACTCTAAGGCCGATCGCACACGGACGCAACCGATCAGGTTCAAACCACTCTGAAACTACAGTTGCACACTGTAGTTGCATTCGACCGTGGATCTAGGTAAAACAAAGATAGTGGAATAGGTAAAACAAAGAGCGCAAACGGTTTGCAACACTAATTTCAAATCGGTTGCACCGTATGCGATCGGTTTAATGCTTTAGCACACCGAGATCGCTCTGGTGCATCGCGGAACACGGAGGATGATTCGATTGTTTTCTACCCTTGATCGATCTGAGCGATTGCGTTGTCTGATTATATCAATATTCTGTATTCTATATTTAACGTATTAAATAAACATTTATTTACTAATGAAGCTCAACAGTTAAAACTGTCATTTGCAAATACTCGTGCTCGTAATTGAATCTAATACCATTTTAGCAAAGTATTGATTACCATAAGAGCCGATACATAAGAACGCCCAGAAATACCGCGAGCACAAAAGGGTTACGAACTCTTGCACGCTAAATTGATAGTATTACGAACAATATGGCTTCCGAAAGGCACGTTATAAGAAGATAGGATATTCGTAAGCACTATACATATATACATACCGTTTTAAGTCGAACCATGTTTGTACAAGCAGGTATAATAATTCTCAAACTGTCGACAAACTATGCCTGGCAATATGTTCGAACGATTTTTCGAAATTAAGAGAGAAGAGTGAAATTCAGAAGAAACAGCTGACTTCGACGTTCCATTTCACTTGATCCACTTCTAGCAAGTCACACTCGTATACGGCAGAGAAATGCGTTCGATTTAGACACCAGACAAGTTGAAAATGGTTCACATACGAGACAATAATTTTCCTCGTTTTACACTGTCGAACGCTTTCTAGAGAATATCACGCCAAAAAATGCCTGCCGAATGTATCAAGGGAAGAATGATGCCCCAGTGGCGCCGTATCGACACCTATCGATCGTCCAGCAAATTATCCTGGATAGACTTAATTACGCTAGGTGGCGTCGAGATTTTATCGGTTGACGTATCGATTCTCGATGCAGTCGTTCCAAGCCCTTTGCAATTACGTTCAAACTATTGCCAGCAACTGATCTATAACTTTTGGAAGCTAATCAGTTTCGAGAGACCATTCTTTTTCCTCGTACATTTAATAAGAAGCGAATTGTAGTCACAGTAATTCATTATATATTTCATAACTGTTCATTTCATAGATAGATCTTTCGAAAACTTGGCGTTTGTTCCGAAATGCTGATGAATTCTATCGAAACATGTATTGCATATAACGTCATCTGTCAACGTCAAAGATATTATAATCTATATCTCCACATATTCATTCAAATTAATATTGAAATTTTCCTACTCTGGTATATTATACTTTACTGTACACATTAAACTAAGAGTAACGAAATATGTAAGGATAAGGACGACTATTGTGACTCGTTCTGTTGTTACGTCGCTGTAAAAATTAAATTTTATTTGTTAAATTTTATTTGTTCTCTTGCATTTAATATTTATTTCTATATCGTTTCAGAGTCCAACGCCACCGCAATATGTTTTCTGGTATCATAATAACCGAATGATAAGTTTTGACACCACGCGGGGCAACGTAATGGTACAAACCGATTCCAGTTCGACTCAAAGTCGGCTGATAATTCAGCAAGCGGTGGAATCGGATACGGGGAACTATACGTGTAGCGCCTCGAACACCAAACCGGCGTCCATCTTTGTTTTTGTCACAGAAGGTAGATAAAATAAATAACCGTTTTTCATATCATATATCACAACAAATGTACAAAGTATCGATAGCAGTTTTTCACTCTGAATTTTTTCAAGGAAGTTTTCATGGAAGTTTTTGGATTCATTTGTGGCTACGATAGAAATTAGTTGACTATCCATATATACAATTTTTTAAAGAGTTGTAAAACGATATTATTTTTTATCTATAGTTCTCGTACTAAAGTTTTATCCTGATTATATCATAGGTATAGAAAGAACCCTATTTTAATACAATCGCTAATCATACGTACGTTAACTGTTTCAGGTGACAAAATGGCAGCCATACAGCGCCGTAAAACATCGGCTGCGGAGAAAAATTTCTGTGAATTGCTAGTACTAATTGTCACCATTGCGATAGACGCCATTTTAACGCGATAAGCGTTTCTCTTCGATATGTCCATAATTATTATTATACCGTTACTTCCGTTTGTGATAGATAGGCTACTATTCTGCGATTTTATCCCTCTATTCACTCTCCTTCTTTCCCTTCGAGCTGAACATCTTCGTGCAACGCGATTCTCGTTTTCTTACGTTCGTTCCTCCTTATATTTTCTCTTAGCCCGTCAAATTTCTTCCACGTTATCGTCGTAAATCCTCGTTTAAAGTACCATTCGATTAGCTGTTCGCAATCATCGTCACATCCTCCCGTACTTCTCGCCATTAACGTCTTTCTTTTCATTTTGTTTCCGTGGTTTCGTCGCCGAGGTTGCCGCCGGCTGATTTATTTCAAAATACCGAGATTTTCATGGTAGATTGTGGCTGTTCCAAGTCCACGTCTTGCGTGTAACTAAAACTGGTAGAAATACTCGCGGATAATTGCAACTTTTCTCTCTCTCTCTCTCTCTCTCTCTCTCTCTCTCTCTCTCTCTCTCT